GACTGTGCATAACCCACAGGCAGGACTTGAGTGCATAAGTGCTCTTCTCACTTGTGAATGATCCCAGCGACTGGTTTTCAGACGCATGCTGCTTTCTACAGTGGAGGGGAAACGTCAGTCTGCACCTTAAGCAAAGGAAGGAGCGGGGAGGGTGGGGGAATGAAAAATTGGCTTGGTGCTGTGCGGCCAAAAGAGATGCATCCAGACTCACGCTCAAGATGGAGACTGCAGACTTGATTGAACGAGTGTCTGCTTAGTGCTGCTGCAGATCTCAGGTTACTCCGAGATCTATTGCATTTTGGGAGAGAGAAAAGAAAAATGCATGGACCGGCTCTCATTTTTCAAAATGTAAAATCCAGCAGATGCCCACACCTGTCTCTACACAAGGTGTAGATCTGGTCCTTTGAGTGGAGGGGGGAAGTCACTAGGTGATCCACCTCACAGGCTCTTGTAGCCTCTCAGCCACTCTTCCTGGGGAGCATAGGATTGCTCCCTAAATAAATAGAATAACTATGGTGGCCAACCTTGCAGGCCTGCTGTGTTTGAGAGAAGCGTGTGAACACCTTAAGGGTGTCGCCTGCTCGTTTTAAGATTGGATTTAAGGAGAGAATAAGAGATCGGTCATTTTGTGGAGATGACCAATTTGAAGAGCATGGTAGGCAATTTTGAACCCCCAAAAATTTGAACCCCCAAAACTTAATGATGAGTCATAATCATCATAATCACCACCAATATATCTCAAGCATGGTTGAAAATAGGAAGAGGGTTCTTCTGTAGGTTGTGAGTCCTGATTAGGAAGGAAAGAGAAACAGGGCAGTCTTCATATTAGAAAAGTTGGAGATTAATTTTAGGCAGGGGTGGGCCCTCCAGATGTGGTGGGACTCCAAGGGCTTGGCCATAATGTCATTTAATGTGGACAGCAAGCTTCCTGGACCTGCATTAATTCTCCACTGTCCCTACAAAGTTCTCCCCCAAATCACTGCCTTTTCACCTACCTCGATCCAGATTTTCTTATATCACACCTTTAAAGCACATGACTTCCCCAAGAGAATCTTGGGAGCTGTGGTTTGTTAAGGGTGCTGAGAAATGGAGCTCAGTGAGGGAGAAACCACAGCTCCCATGATTCTTTGGGGGAAGTAATGTGCTTTAAATGTTTGGGGTGGATCTGAAAAGGAGAGGGTATGAGAAAATCCCGACTGAGGGAGGGGAAAGTGTGGAAAGGCAGTGATTTAGAGGGAAACGGCATATGGACAACAGAATGATGCTAAATTCACCTACCATCCACAGCAAAGGACAAAATGGATGAGCTTCAACTCCCATTGCAAGAGCTGATGGGAGATGGAATCAATTAATAATAATAATAATAATAATAATAATAATAATAATAATATATTATTTGTACCCTGCCCATCGGGCTGAGTTTCCCCAGCCACTCTGGGTGGCTTCCAACAAAGATTAAAAATACATTAAAATGTCACACATTAAAAACTTCCCTTCAGATGTCTTCTAAATGTCGGGTAGTTGTTTATCTCTTTGACATCTGATGGGAGGGTGTTCCACAGGGCGAGTGCCACCACCGAGAAGGCCCTCTGCCTGGTTCCCTGTAGCTTTGCTTCTCGCAGTGAGGGGATCACCAGAAGGCCCTCGGCGCTGGACCTCAGTATCCGGGCAGAACGATGGGGGCGGAGATGCTCCTTCAGGTATACTGGGCCAAGGCCGTTTAGGGCTTTAAAGGTCAACACCAACACTTTGAATTGTGCTCAGAAACGTATCAGGAGGGACATATCCTTGATTTTAGGTAATATCCCAGGTAACAACTGACCCAGACCCTTCAATCACCACCTGAGGCCCTTCTTCGTGTATCCCCTCCATGAGAGGTCAGCAGGGGGGCAACATGAGAGCGGGCCTTTTCTGCAGTGGCAGAACCCACCCAGGGGGTCCGTGGCACCATTCACATAAAGAAAACTACCATAGAGATATCAAAATTTTCAAAAGTAGGGGCTTGGCTTTTGAAAAACAGGCGATCTGCAGTACTTGGCTAATTGGGAACCACTGATTTGTGGCTCTGTGTGTGTGAGTGTGTGTTATTGTTTTTGTTTGTTACTATGTTGTGTATTTTTGTGTTTTTAAATTGTAAGGTGCTGTGTGATCCTTAGATGAAGGGCGCTATAGAAATTTAATGTATGAATGAACGAATGAATGAATGAAGTCAGTATAGACATATTGTGTAGTATTACCAACATATTGTCCATGGAGTTTTCTTGGCAGGGATACTGGAGTGGCTTGTCAGTTCCTGCTCCAGGTGGATCACGTTTAGTCAGAACTCTCGGCTATGACCTGTCCATCTTGGGTGGCCCTGCACAGCATAGCTCATAGCTTCTCTGAGTTACTCAAGCCCCTTGGCCATGACAAGGCAGTGATACATGAAGGATCCAATACTTTGGCCACCTAATGAGAAGAGATGACTCCCTGGAAAAGACCCTGATGTTGGGAAAGATGGAGGGCACAAGGAGAAGGGGACGACAGAGGATGAGATGGTTGGACAGTGTTCTCGAAGCTACCAACATGAGTTTGACCAAAATGCGGGAGGCAGTGGAAGACAGGAGTGCCTGGTGTGCTCTGGTCCATGGGGTCACAAAGAGTCGGACATGACTGAATGACTAAACAACAACAACAACCAGCAGATGGGGGGTATGTAATCATCAGAAAGCAAAGTCCCCTTCATTGGTGGTTTTTAAGCAGAGGTTGGGTGGCCATCTACATGGATGCTTTAGTTGAGATCCCTGCATTGCCTGGGGTTGGATTAAATGACCTTCAGGAGTCCCTTCCAACTCTACAATTCTATGATTCTACATTTGAGTAGAGCCCAAAGTAATCTTTTGATTTTCCTCAATGGTGACATTAAAAAAAAGCTAGTCATGTAGATCAGTAAGAAAAATTCTAAAATCCACAGCTGGGCAAGGCTTTCTTGTGACAGGGCTGGACAAACACCAGCTCCCTTGGCCTATAGAGCGAGATGAGCACACAACCCCAGAGTCGTCCGCGTCTGGACCTAATGGTCAGGGGTACCTTTACCTTGACCTTTTACCTTTACATCCCTGACCCTTGGCCTTGATGGGCTGGGGCTGATGGGAATTGGAGTTCACAAACATTCTGAAGGTGGCAGCTTCTCTGCCTCTGCTTTATCAGGACCACACACGAGAAGTGAGCAAGCTTTCCAGTTCTTGAAAAGTCAGTGGGAACAGCATTCCCCCAAATCTCCACCATCTGGGGGAAATTCACCAGATCCTTGTGCTGATGAGTTAACACACGCTTTAATCATCCCTTTGTTTACATCATCAGGAGTAGTTAAGAAGCATAAGGAAGGTGGGCTTTAAAAAAATAAAGAAATTAGAGTCTTTATAGGGAATGTGTTGAGGGTTTTTTTATTTTCAAGCTGTGACACACGCACTTAGTTATATCAAAGGGGGAAAACGAAGCAGATTAATGTACAGTTGATAAGGACACAGAGAATTAATTGTGAGGTGGAGAACCTACTGTTTTTGCACCCTTTGTGTACCGCTGTGTGGGTCCCATCCCCCAAATACTAAGGAGCAACCAGTTTGTGCTGGGACGATGAGAATAAATACGAAAGTCTGGATACAGATGGGAAAACGTAAAGGGGAATTCTAATCTGTATAACGGGTTACAAGGACAAAGGGATACGGGTTGACTTTTGTTTCAAATTACAGAGTGAGATCTCACAAATGCCTCTCTGATCCCCCAAATCACAGATGGCAAGCTGTGATCTCGCACAGGCTCCCCAGCCCCCAACCCTCCGAATTAATCACCATTCTGGAATAGCCATCACTCCCGAGTTCTGTACTTGCCATTATTTATATGGCTCAGAATGTCTCTTCCATCCATAAACATGGGAGAGAAAGAGACTGAGACTTCTTTCTTTCTTTCTTTTTTTACTACTCTCTGGTCTCTCTGGGGTGGTTAAAGGGATTCCAGTGGTCACCAATCCCATTAAATGGTTACGTGTTTTGCAAGCGTAATTGCATAAGATCAGGCCCAGGGCCCATCTACTCCAGCAATCCTGCTCTCACAGTGGCCAAACCAGCAAACAGGGCCTGAGCAGAGCAGTCCTCTCCCCTCCTGTAAACATATATTAAAACATATAAGGTAAAGGGACCCCTGACCATTAGGTCCAGTCGTGGACGACTCTGGGGTTGTGGCACTCATCTCGCTTTACTGGCCGAGGGAGCCGGCGTACAGCTTCCGGGTCATGTGGCCATCAGGACTAAGCCGCTTCTGGCGAACCAGAGCAGCACACGGAATAGCCGTTTACCTTCCCGCTGGAGCGGTACCTATTTATCTACTTGCACTTCATGCTTTTGAACTGCTAGGTTGGCAGGAGCAGGGACCGAGCAATGGGAGCTCACCCCGTCGCGGGGATTTGAACCGCCAACCTTCTGATCAGCAAGCCCTAGGCTCTGTGGTTTAACCCACAGCGCCACCCGCGTCCCCTCCTGTAATTTCTAGCAACTGGCATTCAGAAGCATCACTGTACACGACCATGGAGGCAGAGAAGAGCCATCACATCTAGTAGCCATGAACAGGCTTATCCTCGAACAATTTGTCTAATCCTCTTTTAAAGCCATCCAAGCTTTAAGCCTCCTGCAGGAGGGAGTTCCACTGACCAAGTTCCCATGTCCAGTTCCTCCAGCATCTCCAGGTAGGGGTGGAAACTATGCCTGTCTGAAGCCCCGGAGAGCCATTCCTGGGTGTAGACCAGCTGTGGTAGATGATGGGCCAATGATCTGATTTGGCATGGCTCCTACTTCCCAGTCCCTGATCTGAAAGTTCAAAACCCTGCTGAATGGCACTGGCAATCAGGGAGCAGAAGCTGATATGCGGGCTGCCTAGTGCTGGTGCCAGTCTATTTTGTGTGCCAGGAAAGGCTAACTACTAGGAATCATAGAATCGCAGAGTTCAAAGGGACCCTGAGGGTCATCTGGACCGACCCCCTACAATGCAAGAATATGCACCTGCAACCTCAGCGTTATCAGCACCACGCTCTAACCGACTGGGCTACCCTCCCCGCAAAATTTCTAACTTCAGTTTTCTTGTAGGGAAAAAAAATGAAAAGCACAGAACTTTGAAACGGCTAGATTTGTTTTAAATTGCAAAGAATAAGTAATGCAGCCATCTTTGATTATTTTTCTCAAGCGCAAAAGAAAACATTTTCGCGCCAATCATTTGGAGTAATCTTGTGAATTGTGGTGTTAAAATTTAAGTCTCTTAAATGTTTCAATTTCAGGCACATCAACATATCACTCTGCATGCTTTTTCCTGTGCAAATTTTGTCACCGGTTCTTTCAGTGGCATCTGTCAAAACTTGTTGAAAACCCTCATCATACCTGCAGTTGGCTTGTAGCTGAATTTAAATCACTTTCCATATTTTGTAGTAGCTTGCTTGCAAAATGGACTAGCATGGAACAAGGGATGCCACAAACTTGAGTTTACAAATTGCATGTGCAAGGGCCTTGGTTTCAATATGGGAATTGTTTCCAGACAAACCTTTTCGGCTTGTGTCATCAAAGACATATATTAAAGCATCACATATGCTACCAAGATGATAGGCTGTATCTCAGTGGTTTCAAAGCATTGATCGAATTCTCCCATCTTGTTTCACTTCAATGGCTTAACAGTTATGGCTAAGTTTGATAAATGGCTAGTTAGAATTTGCCAATGCTGAGTCAATGCAGATAAATAATTTTAGATCCGTTGAACTAAACTGAACAAACTCATTGCTTCCAGACCCAAACACACCCATTACATAACCTCCAGCCTACCCTACATGTATGAATTACTTCAGAAACAATGACGTTCTTCAAAGTATAAGATACAAGCAAAATATTATCAGGAATTTATAAGATACAACAAAAACGAATCTGTGTAAAGCTGTGTCTCTCAAAGGTCAGTGCTGTGCCTCTGAGGTGTGGACTCTAAACAGCTGCCCAGTTGGCCTAATGATAGCACCAAACACTCATTTTTAAAGAAATAATAATAATATGTATTTATTGATACTTATTCAAAGTTATACGAAAATACATACCCATTACAAAGTTATTGTTTTATATGGTAATATACTGAGATAAAACATCTGCTTAGTCTAAAAGAGAACAAAGTCCAGAGGAAGAAAAGACAAGAAAAAAGGAGAAAGCTAAAGAAAGAGAAAGCGAGAGAAAAGGAATAAAACCAAAAACTCCATGATCAAGGGACTGTCCCATTTAAGACTGCCAGCCTCTCTCCAGGCAAAACAGCAGTTATGAGCAATTACAATACATGGTGACCACAGATGGCACTTAGAAATAAGGTGGTGTTGGGCACACCCCAAATGCAGCTTTGGGACACCACAAATCACTCACACACACTTACAGGAGAGTGTCCTCTGTGAGATGCTCTGGCTCAGGGGTAGGCAGCCTAAGGCCCAGGGGCTGGATGCGGCCCAATCGCCTTCTAAATCCGGCCTGTGGACGGTCTGGGAATCAGCATGTTTTTACATGAGTAGAATGTGTCCTTTTATTTAAAATGTATCTCTGGGTTATTTGTGGGGCCTGCCTGGTGTTTTTAACATGAGTAGAATGTGTGCTTTTATTTAAAATGCATCTCTGGGTTATTTGTGGGGCATAGGAATTCGTTCATTATTTTTTTCCAAAATATAGTCCGGCCCACCAAATGGTCTGAGGGATGGTGGACCGGCCCACGGCTGAAAAAGGTTGCTGACCCCAGCAGTCTGGCTGGTACCACTTCATTCAGGTCCAGGACTGCCAAGCACCCTCGGCCCACGCCAATCAATTCCTGGTATATGTAGAGATTAATAAGGAGCTGGGATTGTTCACCCCAAATGATCAAGCCCAAATGATACACTGAAATAACCTGGAGATGGCTGCCTTTGAGATCTCCTAAACTGGCACCCTGCCCAATGCTTTGTTTGGGTGTAAGACGCTGTCAAGAGTACTGATGCTACTATACCTTTTTTTATATAAAACTCTGGATTCCTTAATCTGGAATAACTGTAATACCACCATCACAAACAAGAAGGCTGCTTTTTAAGGTTAGGGACAATAGGGTTTCCCCCCCACACACACTCCAGAGAATTCAATAAAGCACCCCAACTCACAGATATGAAAGAGGGGTCACAGCCCACTGTGCTAATATTTATCCCACTGCTGCCTCCAGTTAAATGGGTTGGGCAGGCTCAGGTATTGCCTTGAAACCTGCCAGACCCGTTTCACCAGAGGAGAGGAGACAAAAGATGGACATTTGCACAGCAGGGAGAGAGCCATAGGCCAGGTGGCCACAGGTTCAGTTTCTGGCACCTCCAGTTAAAAGGGTGGGGGAGCAGGTGACGTGGAGGACCTCTGCTTAGATCAAAGCAGGTGATGCAGAGATAAAGGCCGGGCAATGGTCTGGTGTGATACCCAGCGGCATAGGAAGCTGTGCCTCCCTGCCTCAATGCTCTTAAAAGTGATTACCGTATTTTTCGCTCTATAAGACGCACCAGACCACAAGACGCACCTAGTTTTTGGAGGAGGAAAACAAGAAAAAAAAATATTCTGAATCTCAGAAGCCAGAACAGCAAGAGGGATCACTGCGCAGTGAAAGCAGCAATCCCTCTTGCTGTTCTGGCTTCTTGGATAGCTGTGCAGCCTGCATTCGCTCCATAAGACGCACACACATTTCCCCTTACTTTTTAGGAGGGGAAAAGTGAGTCTTATAGAGCAAAAAATACGGTATCTGTCTCTGGTCTTTCCAAAGACACAGGTGTCAAAAGGAGGGTCAGAAGGCAGACAGAACCCAAGATTTATAATGAGTTGGAAAAAATGTTGAAATATACATTTATTAAGAAACCAGAAGCCTTTCTACTTGGAATAATAGGTTTGGAATTGCCCAAGAAAGATGTTTTTGTATGCCACAACTGCAGCTAGAATTTTGTTGGCCAAAAATTGGAAACTACAAGAAGTACCAACAGTGGACGAATGGCAGATGAAGATGATGGATTTTGGGGAGCTAGCCGACCCGACCAGAAGAGTCTGTGGCCAGAGGGAGGAGGAGCACCAAGAGGATTGGAAGAAATTCAAAGATTATTTAGCTAAATATGTCAAGATAACATAAATAGAATTACTTGCGAGTACCAAATAGGCCTAGGATTTAAATATGTGATGTTGTAAAATACTATGTTAAAATTAAAATGAAAAGAAAGAAAGATGTAATTTGACCAAGTAAATAGTTTTGGAAAACTGCTACAATGGACTATATGGAAACTCAGCTAGGGGGGTTCAAGGAAGTCATTTAACAATGTTAAAAAAAAAGGAATTATTATAGTTAGGATAAATGTTTGCTTGTTTGGTTGGTTGGTTTTTGATGTTTTTTTGTTTGATATAAAATTGGAAAATCAATAAAAAAATTGGAAAAAAAGAAAGAAGGCAGACAGAACCCACTCTTTAACTGCTGCAGTCCAGTGAAGCTCGCCTGCGTCAAATGGCCCCACACTTTGAGGCTGAAAGGATGCCTTCAACTGGGGTTCCCCCAACTAATCCCATCGCTGTGTAGCCATCGACAGCTGAAGGTCATTTGCGCTATATCTGGTTTCCATGGCGACCATTGATTGGCAGGCAGATTTTCAGGGCATCCGGGGTTATTAAATGCAGCAGACTGCGCCGGTGACAGATCAGGCTTTGGGGGAAATTTCGCTCAGTGGGCAGGTCACGGAAAGGGAAATGCCAGAATAGGCTGAGCATTAAGACAGACTCTTAGCTTCATTTTCTTTCTTTTCTTTTTTGTTTCCCCAGCCTGAGGACGCCTGGGCTTCTCTGTTTTTTGGAGCATGTGATGTGGGACGGAGAGGGGAGTGAATGGGAACATACGCAATTCCACCCGCCACCCCCGCCATCTTCCACCACATTTTCTTCTGCCCTAGATAGAAGGGAGGCTGGGGGAGGAGGGAAGAGGGGGGAAGATCCCAGAGACTGGCTGCATCAGTAGCCTGAGGGTGTTAATTCATCTCTCCTAGCAACGGAGCATTGGGGGGGGGAGGGGAGGGAAGCCCCTCTTCCGGTAGGAGGGGAGGGGGAGGAGCTGCGTGGGTGGAGAAGGGGACAGGTGGCTTGGGCATTTGGCTATTTCTGGAGGGAGACAGAGGCGCCATAGCAACAACACACACACACTCAAATTTAATGCACAAAATCCATACATGCAACCTCATATCCTCAGCTTTCTCATAGGACTTGGGTTATCACCCCCACCTCTTAGAATCATAGAATTGTAGAGTTGGAAGGGGAACCCCAACGGTCATCTAGTCCAACCCCTTGCAATGTAGAAATCTCAACTAAAGCATCCATGACGGATGGCCATCGAACCTCTGCTGGAAAACCCCCAAGGAAGGAGAACCACACACCTTCCGAGGGAGTCCTTGCCACTGACCAACAGCTCTGAATTCTTGTACCTTGAAGCCATGGGTTCGGGTCCTACCCTCCAGAGCAGGAGAAAGCAAGCTTGCGCCATCCTCCGTGTGGCAGGCCTTGAAACATTTGATGATTTGATGATATCTTTTCTCAGTCTTCTCTTATACAGGATAATAATAATAATAATAATAATAATAATAAATTTTTATATCCCCCCCTCCCCAGCCAAGACCAGGCTCAGGGCGGCTAACACCAGGTATAAAAACAATTGATTAAAATACAACTTAAAAACAAGATTAAAATACAACATTAAAATTCAGCCTCATTTCAGTAGAAACTCAAATCAAAAACTTTTTGGGGATGAAAACGTCCAATCTTCACCAAAGCCAACTATCCAGACTGGTCCTACGTGGGCCAGAAAAAAGCCAGGGAAGTCCCCAAATAGGAGTTCCATCACAGAAGGAGAAAGGAGAAAGGAAAGACCCATTTCCCTCGACTATTCCTCCCAAGGCTTTGATCATCTTGGTCTCCCTCCTCTGCACTTGTTCCAGCTTGTCAATATGCTTCTTAAATTGTGATACCCAGAAATGGACATGGTATTCCAGGTGTGGTCTGATCAAGGCGGAATAGA